TCTTTCTTTCTTTAAGATGAAAAAACGATACAAATGTATCCTAAACATTTATTTTTCCTACAAAGAAACTGCATAGCCAATCAGGTTTCTTGTGAAAGGTATTTTGTCCAGGATCACAACCATGTTTGTAATCATAGTCAAGGAAAGTCCAATGAGGAAGGAGGTTGGGTTGGATATACAAACACAGGACTTTGCCGTAGCACAGGACTTTGCTGTAACAGGTGAAACCTTAAGTCAATGTTCAATTATTTGTAATTCATTATTAATCATAAGTGTTTATTTAAGCTGCTAAAAAAGGCCTGGTGTATCCAGGACAACGTTATGGTTTCATTTTGCAACGATGCCATTGTGGCCATAGAGAACACTAGAAGCAGTTGCTGTTGCTCTTGATCAAAAGAGACAAATGCACTTCCCATCCATTGTCTTTGCCAGCAGTGAAGTAAGAACTGTCTCTATCTCTTACATTAAAAGAGAATGCAACAGATTGTTACATACCTTCAAATCATAAATACATTCTTGGTTTTAAGATGCACTTAAAATGGTGTCTTGTCTCCACCTGAGATTGTATCCTGCATTTAGCAGTACTGTGTTTATGAAGAGAACTTTTCTCTGTACAGTAGCTCTCACCTGCAATTATGTTTTTATATCCTCTCAGTTCAAAGGCTGCGCATATTTCCACACTAAACTCAAAGTGGTATTCCCTGCGATTTTTCGAGCAAAATAAATTGCAGGCTGCGTGGATGTATTTGAAGAACAGGTGGTTTGACTGTGTCTTTCTTCCTCCGAGAGGATTCCTCTGGAGACTCCCAAAAGGAAATTACAGAGCAATAACCTCTGTCACTAGCTGTTTCCTCTGGTAGCTGAGGACAACCCAGTGGATTTCTTTAAAGAAGCATTGCGTATACCAGAACATGCATCTGCCCTTATACTGCTGATGTTGCTGCTCTACAAACCCAACACCACTTTCTGAGTGCACTGCGTTTCCCAGCAGCCTACAGTGTATCTTTGTCAAACTGTCACCCTCCAGCGGCCGAGTCGTCCCGTCCACACCTCACCCCCACCCCGACAGGGTCTTTATGAAAGTGTCAGTGATGAAGGTGCCTCTGACAGCTAAACATTGTCCTCTGACTGAACGCCCAGCACATACCTCCTCCTGTTTGAATAGACGGGTTTCCCAGGGCACTTTGTCTCAAAGCAAACAGCCGATATTGTAGCATCTGCAAATATTCTGTTATAGTCCTACATTTGTTTTTGGTTCACATTACATGTCCTAACTTCCACTGAGTTAACATTGGAAGATGAATGGGAATTGTCTTTAGTTACCTCTTACTTATTTTTGGTTCGGTATTCCTTAAGTTTTCAGTTTGGTTTGGTTCAGGATAACGGAAAAGCTTCTGGAGGTGGCATGATCAATTTCGTTTTCCTTTCTTAACATTTCATCCTTATCCTCTTCTTCCTTCTCTGCTCTCATGCTTTCACTCATTTCGCCCACAATCATTTTATAGTTCCCCACTCATGGTGCAATGATGCACTCCAAGGAAGTATGGGAAGTATTCAGTGGAGGTAGTCAGTGCCATTACTATCCTCCAAAACAATTCTTAGTAAAAAGAATAATGAACTACAGTCATGAAAGTCACTCTGCTTGAATAAACCAGTCAGAGGCGAGTAATCTTTGCTCCTAACCTATAGTGTTGGCATGCTAACGGTTGCTAATTAGCACTAAACAGAGTACACAGAACAACTGAGGTGGAGGAATTTACAGAGCTGACAACACATTTAACTTTGTTCTCAGGAACTGTCACTAAAGAAGCTGAAATATGTGATATGTTATCTATAAGTTATATCTAAGCTATGCTATGGCTACACAGACTTTGTGTGTCTTGGAAAATGTTGAACTCTGTCACATTTTTCCCGTTGTGTAGCATTTGTTTAAACCGAAGCAGATAGAAGTTAATATGCCCAGTGGGAAGCTTCGGAGCAGCTTCAGTATATTTACACTGGTTTTCATTGCTGGCGATGGTCTTATATATCCACACTTCTCAATGTATAAATATTTGCCGTGTAGCAGCTGCTAGCCACAATATTGACCTTTGGGTAGAACATTGCACTTGAGAGTTTCCTGGCTACGATAAAAGATCAGAGGTTGCTGATGGTCCTTTTTAGCTGGTCTTGTGCTTTGATTAAGACAATGGAGAAATGTGCATTTTTATTTCTTCATTCAATCTTATGATAAGATGGTCTCCAAATCAAATATTTAGCACATAAACAAACAAAGAAAATGTATGAAATGATAAAGTATGGAGGAATAAATGCAATGTTTGCCAGGAAGCAGGGGGAAAACCATACAGGACTGTTTCCATTCAATAGGAGAACCTGTTTGCTATTCTTAATTAATAACAGGTCATCATACTTAAAGTATAAATCAGTCTTTGTTTCCTTTTTCACTGAGTCAGAGATAGAAACACATCTTACTCATAAGTCAGTAACACAGAGAGTAAATATTTAGATCAGACTTAGAGAATGGATCATTGGATAAGATGAATCTCACTTGCCCTTCAGAGTAAATCCAACAAATAGCTGTTGATGTTTGTATGCATACTCATGAGGCTGTGATGCCAAAGTGTTTGTGTACTTGTGTTGTTGTAAGCCACATATGTGCAGCAAGGTCCTGGGTGCAACATGTCCTCAGGTTCCTGGGCAGTACTGTGCCACGTTAAGTGTCGAGCACCAGTGTGTTCTGCCAGTAAGACCTCCAGATACCAGAGAGTTTACAGGACCCTCAGCAGCTCCACTATCACGTATCCCACTCCAACATCTGACGATCTGAGTACTTAAGCTGGGAAAGCTCCCCTCCCCAAAGCCAGACATTGTGCAATTTGTCTCCCTCCTCCTGCTGGATGGCCAGCTGCTTCCACCTCACTCCCCCAGACCCTCTGCCTCATTTCCCATCATGCAATATACAACTTCTCCCCTCTGCCTTGCTCACCTTCTCATACATAATGTCCTCACTTTTTCCCTTATTCCCCTCTAGATGTGTCACCCCTCGCTCTTTATAAAGTGACGACCCCCCCACACACACACTCTTCTTGCCTTGCTTTAACACACACTCCCCACATGCATTCCTATATGGTGAGCTCAGTGAAAAACACAGACACGTTTACACACTTTCCTGAAATGTGCACAGCATGCAATCTCACAGCTAGAGCAGTATATTGTTTTTTTTCTGCCTGCATGTATATGTGAGACAAGAGGGGATACAGTCCTGGTGTTAGGTTTCAGACTTGCTAGAGACGTTATCTTCTGGCTGGTAATAAAAACTCAAATTGTTTTATTCACTTCCTAACAGATTTAGTTACGCAAGTTCAAAAACGTTTTCCTAGTATCCTTATCTGTAGTGGTATCCAGCCAAGCAGAAAGACAAGTTTTGGTTTTCTTTGTAGAGGTTTGAGATATCCTTCTACCTTTTGAACCTATGAATGATGCCTTTTAGCATCTTTAAGCTTATTTTCTTTGGTTTTAGGGCCTGCAGCATCACTGATTTGATTCATCTCCCTTAAAAGTGTTGATCTAGAAACAGCTTTTTTAAGGGAAAAAGCTCTGATAAACCCACTTTCTTCAAAAGGCCCAAACTAAAAACTTTATTTCATCAACACAAAACCTACTGTTGCTAACGTTGCTCTGTTTTTAGATGTAGATGTTTCTGACAGCAGGGACACGCTGACCAGATGCTGCTACTCTGCCTCTAAACATGCTGACGTTATGCAAACACAGAGCTGCATGCAGGGTGAAATAATGTGTTTGGGTCAAACACAGCACTCAAATCAGCCTCGGCTATTTACTTCCACAGTGACGGCCAAGTTTGGGTCACAAGCAGCTGTTAAGAGTTATTAGTCGCCAAAAGGGTGAATTACGTCTCCTGAAAGCCTCTTTCATTTTCTGTGGGTCCAACACAGATACAATGTGACATGTGGTTTGATACTGACATGGAGAAAACGTGCATATCTATCAGCGTTGCACTATTGACCCGAGAAGTGTTGTTCCGTGCCAAAGGGGCCGACTATAAACACATTGAGCTATATCTATCGTTCTGACAGGGCCACATGGAAAGTGACAGCTTGACCCACAACCGATGTGGGTCAGCAGCAGCCTGTGGTTGAGAGTGTGAGATAGAAGTATCTGCTCAGGAAAGTGATTAGCTGTTTCCATGAAGCTGATTGTGTTTGGAGAAGGGGGGGGGGGCATCGCTGCAGGAATACAGATACAGGAAATAGACAGAGTCACAGAGACAATGAAATGCAGACTTGAGATGCTGATGATGTTTGACATTTAAACTTGATCCTCTTTAGCGGTGAGCTGCCAGATCACCGGATATATTTGAGCATCGCTGAGTATGTCAGTCAAAGCGGTGCCAAAGACTTCCCAAGTCTTATCTCAGGAGGGGGGGCGCTGAGACACAGAACGTTCTGGTGCCTTTCATGTCTTCAACCAACTTATTTATCTGGCAGACTTTGAAGTACGGAGGTTGTGTCATGCCTCTGCAATTTGTTTGTTGGATTTGTTTTGTCTGAAGTCCAAAAGCCCATATGTCGTCCAAAAAGTCCAGAACCTGAAAAGAGTGAAATGGTCCAACAATGACTCAATGAGCATCGGACATCTGGAATTATTTCTTTGTTCAAACCAGAGCAACATGATGCCCTGACTCTGAGATCAAAACACAACTTTTTTGTTTATGACAGAATATCCACAGTATTACAGGGGCAACCAGGACAATTCTAAAAAATAAGGTTTGGCAATCATTCAACTCAGTGCAACCACAGTGATCATTCCACCTGGTTCTTATTAAAAAGCTTTCTTTCACGACGAATGTTTTTAACTTACTGCAGTTAAAACCCTCCACAAACAACCCTCTTACTAGTAAAGGTCAAATATGACTTAATTTACCTTTTTGAAACCATGAAGGGTGCTAGTGTTGTTTTTCACTCTGATTCTATGTGTTTCAGAGTATTGAGCGAGAGGAGCCCATAGAGGTGGACCCCACCCCAACACATGCTGGACTGGAGAATGGACACGCTGCTACCACAGGTAACTACGTCACCCGCTGATTTTACACATGAAAGTCAAGCTTTGTAAAGTCTGGAAAAACAACCCTGATGATGTCATAAGGGATTATGGTTAGGTGAGGTGTTTGGCGCTTGACTCACACCATTCTGAACTCAGAGTGTTTGTGTCTCCTGTCTTATTGGAAGTTAAATTCCAAATAACTGACTAACTTTATATTTGTTAGTAGAGTTAATAGGGATGATTAAGGCTTATTTCTTTCTTATAATTGCATGACGTTGGATAAGTCACCCCAAAAAGGATTCAAAGATACATTATTATAAAACTAAAACACGTGGTCGCACAACGCAACAGAGCAGTGTGAAATACTCACGTGATTTCATCTATTGATGTGTTGTCACGCAAACGAGTTTCCCTTTTTTTCTGTGTCTCACAGAACGGTTTTTAAAACAATGTATTCAATTAGAAGTATCTTTCATGCCAACCCGGTCTCACAGCAGTTGTAGACCATTTATAGTAAATAACAAAAGTATCACAAAACATAACAGTAAAGTTTCCTGTAGTGCATTTTTCACATTTGAATCATAAGGAATTTTTACGGCAAGAACTAAAACAATTGGGATTTTTGTGAGGGAAATTCTGGTGATAATTATCTGTTGGTTGGTTATTCGGAATGGTAGACATAAAAGAGTGGTGGAGTAATGTGTCTTAAAACCAGGAAATTAATTTAACCACTTCCGGTTCTCTTGTCTTGAAGTCATCGTTTTTTAATGTGTTTGCAGTAAAATCCTGAAATAAGGTCTGCTCTTAAGCTTAAGAAATGTTCCCGTTTTGTTCTACGATATAAAAATCCTCCGTAATACCCCACTCAGGAATCTCCGAAGCTTCTATGAGTCATATAAACTGCGGTTGCAAATAAGTGACTAAATAGACTATTTGTTTTATCCTACCAGAACCGTTAGAGTTGCTACACGGAAAAGTCTCTCCCCCGAATAACTTCCCACACGAGCACACAGCCCCTGTCGCCATGAGGATGCCCCACCTCCCCATCACCGCTACAACCAAGACGGCAGAAATGAAGGGCCCAGACTCTCCCAGCAGCCCTTCTGCTTCTCGTTCCTCTCCAGTCTCTGATGACTCACCTACTGGCCAATCAGCTGCTAGCACTAACCGGATCCAACCAATAGAAGAGTTTCCAATTCAACCAGGTGGGTCATGGTCTCAGTTCTAACTCTAACTACTCAATGGACAGATGAAAGATTTTACCATCTATACTGTTATGCCATCGTAATTTAGCCTTTTCTTCGTGGCTGTTAGTATCTTCTTCGTGGACCCCCACACCTATCAGAGCACTGGGATCTCCCCGCCTTCAAGGTGAGACAAGCTTTAATAAGAAACATGTGCTACCCTCTTTGACACAATATCATGGATATCATTTACTGACTTGTAGTCTTTTGCAGAGAAAGCTAATTCCGTCCCAGCAAAGTCTGTCACCTACTCAGGACTTGTGCAGCATGACAGGTGAGTGAAAGGTGACTCATGAAACTTTAAGGGTAGGTAAAATGTGTTTGTCTGACCCTTCTGTGCTCCCGTCCTGCAGAGACGATGATGTAGATGATGTAAGCAGTGACAGATCCTATGGTCAGGTAGGAGAGAGGAGGCGGGAGCTTGTGAGGTCTCAGACTCTGCCACGTAACATTGGTGCCCAGGCCCGTCGATCTATCTTCGAAAGGCTCGACTCTGAAGCCAATAACAGGTACAAGCAAAGTGCATTTGTGTCATGTTGACAATTATGGTCGATTTCTTAGCATTGAAACTCTCTCATGTATACTTTCTCTGTGTCTACTTTTGTACAGTCACCCCAAACCAGTAGACTCTAAACCTAAACTGAAGCGGTCTCAGAGTTTTGGGGTATCCAGCGCCAGCAGCATCAAGCAGATCCTTCTTGAGTGGTGCCGATCCAAGACCATAGGCTACCAGGTAAAGTTGTAGACTGTACATAAGAAGTATATGCAGCCACTGTGATGTGACCCATTGATCTGACGATAAAAGTTTGGAAGTGTCAAGTTTGGCATTTTGGCTCTCTTTATATCAGTTTATTGGAGCCAGAAGTTAATATATTTTGATGAGTGGGTGGAATAGAAAATGCTAAGCTATCAGCTAGCTTGCTTAAATAGCAAGATACATCCATAATGAATTCCTACTGCAAACACAGGGGCAGCAGGTGAACACTATCAGACAATCAGGCACAGAAGGGAAAACACAGGAAGTAAAAACAGGACGAGACACAGGGAGAAAATACATTTCAAAATAAAATTGTAAACTAAAGCACAAAAACTAAGATCATCACAAATAATTGTTTCGTAATAATGCAACTTATACATATAAAAGATAAGATTTGACATATCAGTGATGGATTGCCTAAATACAATTATTAGGTTTTTTTGGATAAATTAGAAGTTTGATATGAAACTCAGGTTGTTAGTACATTTATACTGGACATTTCAAATATATATTTACTACACTTCTGTTTACATTCAGTTTAGTAATTTGCGATTACTGCCCAATTTCAATAACTTTATTGAAGTTATTTCATCCATTATTGTATCTTACATAATTGTTTTTATTTCACTTGCTGTCACGGTGTGTGAAGCAGGTAGGACCCAAATGCAGAATAAAGTGACAATTCCTTTATTTCAAGGCTAGATAACAACGACAAAACAGAACACTCACCGACGAACTAGTCATGACAAAAGACGAACCGACAAAGACAGACAGAAAAACCAGAACTTAAATACACACAAGACTAATCACATATCACTAGATCACCAGGGGTGGGTGGAGGGGGTCAGGAGGACGGGACTGAGCTGACCACCCAGAGGCACAGCAGAGGACCAGGAAGGGATCTCGGGCGGACGGCCCGGGGGCAAGGCAGAGTTCAAAAAGGGGGATTCGGGCGGACGGCCCGGGGGATCCCCCACAGAAGGGGACCAGGACACGGGATTGGTAGGACCCCCGGCGAGACAGAGGATGGCGGGGCCTCCAACGGAACAGGACAAGGGGTTGGTAGGACCCCCGGCAGGAGAGTAGTCGGCGGAGCCTCCAATGGCACAGGACAAAGGGTTGGCAGGAGAGTAGTCGGCGGGGCCTCCAACGGCACAGGACAAAGGGTTGGCAGGACCCCCGGCAGGAGAGTAGACGGCGGGACCTCCAACGAGACAGGACAAAGGGTTGGCAGGACCTCCGGCAGGAGAGTAGACGGCGGGACCTCCAACGGGACAGGACAAAGGGTTGGCAGGACCCCCGGCAGGAGAGTAGTCGGCGGGGCCTCCAACGGCACAGGACAAAGGGTTGGCAGGAGAGTAGTCGGCGGGACCTCCAACGGGACAGGACAAAGGGTTGGTAGGACCCCCGGCAGAGGAGTAGTCGACGGGGCCTCCACCGGGACAGGACATGCAGTTGGCAGGACCCCCAGCGGAACCTCCAACGGACCAGGATATTGGGTAGGGACTTGAGACGTGACTCGAGAGGGGAACCAAGGGGGAACTCGAGAGGGGACTCGAGAGGAGACTCGAGAGGGGAACTAGAGAGGGGACTAGAGGAGGGACTAGAGAAGGGAACTCGAGAGGGGACTCGCGAGGGGAACTAGAGGAGGGACTAGAGAGGGGACTAGAGGATGGACTAAAGGAGGGAACTCGAGAGGGAACTCGAGAGGGAACTGGAGAGGGGACTCGAGAGGGGACTCGGGTAGGAACTCGAGAGGGGACTCGGGTAGGAACTTGAGAGGGGACTTGAGAGGGGACTGGAGAGGGAACTGGAGAGGGGACTCGAGAGGGGACCCGGGTAGGAACTGGAGAGGGGACTCGGGTAGGAACTTGAGAGGGGACTCGGGTAGGAACTTGAGAGGGGACTCGGGTAGGAACTTGAGAGGGGACTTGAGAGGGGACTTGAGAGGGGACTTGAGAGGGGACTTGTGTCGGTCGGTACGCCGACAGGACACAGGGAGCTGGCGTCGTCTGGGGAGCCAGCAGGAGACGAGGTGCTGGAGTCGGCCGGTACGCCGACAAGACTCGGGGAGCTGGCGTCGGCTGGGGAGCCAGCAGGAGACGAGGTGCTGGAGTCGGCCGGTACGCCGACAAGACTCGGGGAGCTGGTGTTGGCTGGAGAGCCAACAGGAGACGAGGTGCTGGAGTCGGCCGGTACGCCGACAAGACTCGGGGAGCTGGCGTCGGCTGGGGAGCCAGCAGGAGACGAGGTGCTGGAGGCGGGACCATGACTGCTGGAGCCGGTACCTGAGCCGGAACCATGGCTGGAACTGGGGCCGGAACCATGGCTGCTGGGCCCGGTACTTGAGCCAGAATCATGGCTGGAACTGGGGCCGGAACCATGGCTGTATGGGCCAGCTCTGGTGCAGGGACCACGGTTGTAAGATCCAGTTCTGGAGCCGGAAACATGGCTGTAAGGTCCGGAGCTGAAGCCTGGATCATGGCTGTGTGGGCCGGTTTTGGAGCCGGAAACATGGCTGCTGGGGCTGGCACTGGAGCCGGAACCATGGCTGCTGGGCAAGGAACCGGAACACGGATCCATGGCTGTGTGGGGTGGTACTGGAGCACGGTACCATGGCTATGTGGGATGGTACTGGAGCACGGAACCATGGCTGCTGGGTCCGGCACTGGAGCCGGAACCATGGCTGTTGGGGCCTGTACTGGAGCCGGAACCATGGCTGCTGGGGCTCGGGCTGCTAGCCTGGCCTTGCGACGACTCCTCTTAGCAGCCTCCTGAATACTCCGTGGACCTCCATAAGCCTGACGAGTTCCGGAATACGACTCCTGGACAGGAGCAGGAACTGGGGCAGAAGCACGGGTTGACTTCAGGCGGAACCCACCAAGGCGTATGGTGCCAGGTTGGGAATTGGGAGACAGGGAGCTAGCATGCCTGGAATCACATGCTTGAAGGAAGTCCAAAATCCAGTCAGGTAAAAACTCAACAAAACATGGTTTCTCTGCTGCCTACCAGAGCGGCCCTCTTCTGCCGAACACTGGACGCTCCCTTCCGCCAATCGAAGCAGCAAGCCAGATAGAAGGTTAAATGCTGTAATTCAACCTCCCATGTATCATCTGCTGGGTCCATTTTGTGGTCGATTCGTTCTGTCACGGTGTGTGAAGCAGGTAGGACCCAAATGCAGAATAAAGTGACAATTCCTTTATTTCAAGGCTAGATAACAACGAAAAAACAGAACACTCACCGACAAACTAGTCATGACAAAAGACGAACCGACAAAGACAGACAGAAAAACCAGAACTTAAATACACACAAGACTAATCACAGAAACAAGACACAGGTGAGGAGGGAGGAGAAAACACAGGGACACCAGGTGAACACAATCGGGTAAATTAGACACACCAGGGAAACTAACGACCGGGAACCACAGACAGATCTAAACAAGACACAACGCAGACAGAAACAGGCAAGACAGGAAGTGAAGACCTTTCAACATAAAACATGAAACAAGACAAGACAAAACATCATAAAGACAGATCGTGACACTTGCATTATCTTTGTTTTCTATTTTCTATATATAATGAGCATTGTTGGTGGAAACCTGACACTTCAGATTTTCCTGGCGAACGACTTTGTTTCTGTGCATGTGATAAAAAAACAAACTTGAACCTGCCTCAGGTCCTTAAGGTTAAGCTAGGCTAAACGCTCTCGGCTCCACATCCTTACTTACTTACTGGACAGCCAATAAAGCAAATTACAATTTTCCCATAATGTTGAACTATTCCTTAAACAGGGGCACACAATTATACTAGACAAATACTAGAAAACATGCTGAAAGATTTAAAATAACCAAAACAGCCAAAGTGTTGTAAATGAGCCCAACTCCAGTCTGTTTTTCATATAACTTTAACCTGTTAGCACACATTGCGGTAGTGCTAATGCTAACGTGCTAATTATCTTCCTCTCAACCTTAGAGGTGTAGGGAAGTGAGGCTCCTTCAAAAATATTGGGGTGTGTGTGTTTTAGGGGATAAGGGTTAAAATAGTCTCAGTCATGGTTGAGAACGCCGACACATTGCTGCACTCTGGTACCCTTTCCTTCACAGCAGCCTGTGCCAGCCGCTCCATGTGGCTTAGGTTATAGTCAAGCCAGGCAAAGCCAAGACTCTTATTAACTGGGAGCACACACACGAAAGAGAGAGGGGGTGATGACTTGACAAGTTGCGATTTATTTCAAAGCAAACTCCAGACTAATAAAGGGCAGCCTTTGAAATGACATGATTTCAAAAGCATGTAACAGAACCAAAAGCAGGAGAGCAGATGAAGTGGAGGGGAGGAAGTCTGTTCTGTTCATTAGAACTATGGGCTAGACAATGAATGGGAGATGTTTTAAAAAAGTAACAATGACAGTCATGTATGTTGTACCTCCTTCAATCTTATAGCTGTCACTGCTTTTTCTTATAGCTGTCACTGCTTACGCACACAAAATTCCCCTACTGCCACAACATCACCAAATCTGCCTTTTCTCTGTTCCTCTGTAGAACATCGAAATCCAGAACTTCTCGTCCAGCTGGAGCGATGGGATGGCTTTCTGTGCTTTGGTCCACTCGTTCTTCCCCACTGAGTTTGACTACACCTCTTTGTTGCCTGCCAACCGCAAACACAACTTTGAACTGGCCTTTGGAACTGCCGAGTGAGTGATGGTGATATCAGAATAACCTTTTAGGAGTCACTCTGATATGATGGAAATTAGGCATTTTAATTAATTAGATATTCATTGTACAAGTATGCTGATTAAGGTTAGCATTAAGAGCTAACATTAAAACATGGTGACATCTGATCATATGTGAGACAGTGCTGTTTCAGAGGCTTTTAACATTAACTAGACATAACATACACTCGGCTGGAGCACACACACACACCCGCAGCCTGGCTGTGGGTCTGTGTGTGTGCTCGGTCCGGGCCTCGCCGTGTCCCGCTGTCTCAGGCTGAGTCCAGGCTGAGAAATCCGCGTAGCTGCAGCTGAGAAAAATAAGGCTGGCTGAGTGTGTGTGTGTGAGGAGCTTCGCGGATTGGTCCATTTGAATCGTCGTTACGTCACTTGGTTCCCGGAAGAAAAAAATGGAAAAAGAAAATCTCCAACGAGGCGTTCTGGGGTAGCATCATGGATGTATAATAAGAACTGGATACAGCGTGGGAGGCGGGGCCTCATTCATTCCTATGAGAGCTGCTCATTAGCACATGATGATAAAATGGCTCAACTTTTGAGAGAGTGAAACGTCACAGATTACCCAGCATGCCTGAGAAGTACCCGTATGTGCACTCATAGAGCATGCGCAACTTTAACCAAAATGCTCGTTCACATCAAGCACGTCAATTTGCGTACACATAACAGCACCGCGCGTTCATGACAGCATGGTAATGGATTGTTGTTATCATGGATTTGATATGAACGAGGCGGCAGATATTAGCTAGCGGCTAGCTAGTAATGATGCTAATGTACACATCAATCGTTATGTACTTATATTACGCTGTAACAGGATCTAGTGATATCCAACAGAGCTTCATTTAGCATGAAATTATTATTGCACTGTATATATATATATATTTATATACAGTGCAATAAGCTTCTTAGTGCAATACGAAGCTACAGGGACGTTAATAATGTCGGTAATATTAACTTTATTTAATACAACATTTACGGTACAAGATTTAATCATACAGCCCATGTAGTATGATAATGAATTACAGCAAACATGTGCAATATATCCATTATTACAGCTCCGTGGGATGGCAGTAAGACGATATGGATCCGTTCTTATTGTGCATCCATGGGTAAAGATAAACGCAACTCACATTGGTTTCTCATACAGCATCTCTGTAAACTACGTGTATTCACTGAATTTCACTCTCTGCCTTTAACGGCTCGTTGTAGCTCCAATAGCTCCAGCCCCACCCTCCCTGTGAGCACAGTGTGCTCTGATTGGTCGGGACACGTAACATGAACGTGCCGGGCGGCGCGGTCCCGTGGGTTAGATGCGCGTTCATAATGCAGAGGGAAATAACTCTCAGAATAACGTTATTAGCAAATGTTTACAACTTGAGGAACGAATGTTTTTAATAAGGGCTATACAAGTGTTCATACTGGGTAGTTTATTTAGTTTAAAAAAAATTATCCAACGAGTTACAGATCACTCTTTCCCCATGTAAGTCAATGGGAAAAAGTGTTTCCGGGCCTGGCAACCAAACGGAAGTGTAGTACCGCCGTTTGGCCAGCACGAATATTTTCATCTGAGTCCGGCGCACTTCCTGGGGGCTTGGGTAGCATAGACAGGTATTTTCTGTGTTAGAGTTTTACTCGCTACAGGGTGTACTTTGAGAGTTTGTGACTTTGCAGACCGTTTACATGCATAAAAAGCTACATAACACACAAGGGGACAGGTAATAACCGGAAAAGTATGGGCTCAGAACAGTCTCATAATACACACATGCACACAGAAGGATTCACACTTGTATTTCATGATCCGCAAAAGGATTCAAACTTGTATTTCCGGATCCACACTTGTGTTTTTCAATGCACACACAAATGTGTTCCGTTTCATATACATGTAAATAAAATCCAAATACAGAAAAAAGTTTTACATATGTATTTTTGATCCACAAATATTTGTTTTCCATTTAAAACCGCTGCACCTGCAAACACAAACCGCTTTCTGTGCACGGATCGCTGTGCATTCGTGTGTGGGTTTTTGAGACTCCCCTGACGCTCAGCCGATTCGTACTTGTAATTTTTTCTATCTATAGCCAATCAGATGTCTCCTCAACTCTAAGCTAATCACATAAGCACGCCCCCACGAGGGTAGATTTCTTGCGTTCATGACGTAGCGCTTCATGTACGCATTTTGCGCAGTCCGGAGCTGACAGGTCCAAGGAGCCTACCTGCGGGCGCTAATCTCAGGACACCTCCACTCTCAGTACATTGCCACTTTCCGAACAGGAAATGCACGCAAATACAATCTTTTATATTATTAAAGGAATGCTCCACTCATTAGATAATTAATCAAAACTTCAGTATTTAGTGAAACATTATGTTTAAATCATACCCTGAAGAAATCAGCGATATTCCCCGGTAAATAATGATTTTATAGCTCTTTTTTATCAAAACCTGTATATTCCGTCAGGCCGCTGCCATTTTGCCCATTTTCAGTAGTCACGTGATGGTCGTGACGTCACCCATGCATTCACTTTGTAAACACACGAAAACATGGCATAGTATTTGAGTTCGGACTCCTCAGCCGAGGAAGAAGTTTTGAGCAATATGAAGAGATTGGATGGGGGAATTCAGCCATACAGGTTCGAGCCTACTTAGTACTACTTAGTAGATACAATGATTTTGATTACTAGATATGTATGCATGTAGTACCACCCTTGCTAGCGATTCCCTCTCTAGTTTAGCATAATCAGCCTCGTTGTCCCTGGCCCTAGAACCACGATTTTATGGGGCCGGAAAAACTGGGGGAAAATACCCACTAGCCGGTACTACGCTATATGGAAAGGCCACCAAAAACTGGCCTGGCCTGGACGATAAAGGACGTTTAAACGGGGCTACCCGCTGCAATGGAAATGCGCTATAACATACCTTATTCTTACTCCGAGCACTACTTCTGGTCCTCCGTCGCTTCACACTTGCAGAGGGCGATTTCTCAACTGGCCGAACTGGTGTCCTGGTCGGTGATGACACCAGAAAGACCGATGGTACTGCATCTCCATTAAGTAATGGTTGTTCAATAAATCCCATGTTATGTTTTATCATAGGCTGCTTCTCAGGTCGACTATTTTCATTTCCTCGGTCCTCGGTCTCACCGGAAGTTGATTTGCCTGCGCCATCTTGAGTACCGTCCCATGGCTCTTATTTCTGCCGGAGGACCGAGGATCGAGGAGCGATCATGGAGGAGCGATAACCGAGGAACCACCAGACCATCCTCCGATGAAATCCTCAGATACTCACCCCGCCCCCTTACTGTGTATCGCTCACTGATTGGACGAGGCAGTGCATGCGCTGATCTGATGCTTCTTGACATGAGAGCAGAGTGAAGAAAATACATGAACCTCACAGGAGTCACTCCTCAGTTTATACCGTGTTTTGTTTCAATTCATGTATCATTTAGTTACAAATATGTGATATATCTGAACAACAAAGTGGTCAAAAATCATTTAATTCATTTTTTGGAAACATTTTCATGATCGCTTTTTTCGTTTTACATTTTCATTTAATGTCATTTCCATTCAGTCAGTCATTAAGTGCTATTAAAATGTTAATATACTACATATCCAAACAAACAAACAAAGTGTGCAATCCAATGAATGTTAATCTAACTGGGTTTTGATAGATAACATATCTCTTTTTCTTCTCTCAATTATTTTATTTCTATTGTGCACTCTAATCAATATTAATCAAACTATTGTTCGTTTATAAATTTTAAGAATGGCGTTTATCTTTTTTGAGAATTAGTTCTTATTTTATTTTATTTATTGGGGTCTACAACAGATGATACAAATGTTTGTGTCAGTAATGTGTACTAACAGAGGCGGGGGGGTGTGTGGAAATAACGGGGACAGAGCTGGGCTGCTTCTCAGGTCGATTAAATGAAATCCTTGCTTCCCTCACTTGCGTCGTTTCCCTGCGTCTAGTCCCTCCCACCAGGGAAGCATGGAGGGACGCAAGGAAACCACGAGAAGCAGGGAAATGAGTTTTAAGAGCAATGGGACGTCCTTTCCTCCGGAGCGTCACGTGAAGCGACGTCCGTTTGTGATGACGCTGCACAGCTGATCGTCTGACAGCAGCCAGCTCTGTACCCGTTATTTCCACAAACACCCCCGCCTCTGTTAGTGCACATTTACTGACACACACATTAGTATCATCTGTTGTAGATCCAAATACATGAAATAAAATAAGAAGTCATTCTCAAAAAAGATAAACGCTATTCTTAAAATGTATTTAAACGAACAATAGTTTGATTAATATTGATTAGAGTGCACAATCGAAATAAAATAATTGAGAGAAGAAAAAGAGATGTGTTATCTATCAAAACCCAGTTAGATTAACATTCATTGGATTGCACACTTTGTTTGTTTGTTTGGATATGTAGCACATTAACATTTTAATAGCACTTAATGACTGACTGAATGGAAATGACAATAAATGAAAATGTAAAACGAAAAAAGCGATCATGAAAATGTTTCCAATAAATGAATAAAATGATTTTTGACCACTTTGTTGTTCAGATATATCACATATTTGTAACTAAATGATACATTAATTGAAACAAAACACGGTATAAACTGAGGAGTGAGTCCCGTGAGGTTCATGTATTTTCTTCACTCCGCTGGGAAACTGCTCTCATGTCAAGAAGCATCAGATCAGTGCATACACTGCCTCGTCCAATCAGTGAGCGATACACAGTAAGGGGGCGGGGTGAGTATCTGAGGATTTCATCGGAGGATGGTCTGGTGGTTCCTCGGTTATCGCTCCTCCATGATCGCTCCTCGCTCCTCGGTCCTCCTGCAGAAATAAGAGCCATGGGACGGTACTCAAGATGGCGCAGGCAAATCAACTTCCGGTGAGACCGAGGACCAAGGAGCGAGGAAATGAATATAGTCGACCTGAGAAGCAGCCATACTCTCAGAGTAGTCGTCCGGAAACTTGAAATGTTCGCTGCATACATGCGCCTGTGGATCTTTCGGTTCGGGCCGGCCACATTTCGCTAGCCACTGCCTCCGAACGTACTTCCTACGCTTATCTTTTGGCAACAGATGGAACCGAGCATTCCGTGGATTGTTCCTATCAGAATTGTGGCAATGTTTCGCGATACAATGAGGCATATTTGAAGAGAGTAACTACAGTAAATAACATGAACATCAACGTGTCCTCGAAACCAAACGCATGGTTTACGTCACGTCCGGTAAAATGGCGCCGCCCACAGTGTTGATGTTATTTCGGTAATTAATCAGTTTAAAATCACTGATAATGTCATCGGATTAAAAAAACAAAAAGAAAGACTGGCAGAGACTGGTCTGTTTTATCGGATGATAATTATTTAAAAATGAGTGTCATGAGCATACCATTCCTTTAAGGTACAGCGCCACTTTCCGAACCATTGATGAATGCTTGTGTACACAAAAACGGCAGGCAAAACCGTTTTAAATGTGTGTTTCTTGTGTGGCGAATACAGCTGCTTTATTTATGTCTGTATGAAGTTGTTGTGAGTGTGGAGGGAGCAGCTACAGGCTAGCTTAGCCTAATCGATCAGTGCACTACGAAGCCAGTGCTAGACAGTGAACTGTCAACAGGGGGAGCCCCGCCGGTCATTATCGGCCGATATTCACTCTTAATAGTTTGATCGGTGCTCTCTATAAAGGCCGATCAGGAGAGCTGGATCTGATCGATATGGACATAAACGCGAGTGAAGTATAACCGGACCCGAGAGAGATCAGATCAGCTGCTGAGTGAGTCTGATGGAGACACGCAGCTCTGCATGATCATCTGAAGCTCCGCCCTCTGTTTAGCGAGCTGACCGGACAGCGCAAAATGCGTATATGAAGTGTCATGAACGCAATAAATCATACCCTCGTGGGGGCGCGCTCATGTGATTGGCTTAGAATGAAGGAGACATCTGATTGGCTATAGATAGAAAAAATTACAAGTATGAATCGGCTGACCGTCAGGGGAGTCTCAAAAAACCCACACACGAATGCACAGCGATCCGTGCACAGAAAGCGGTTTGTGTTTGCAGGTTCAGGGGATTTAAACGGAAAACAAGTATGTGAGGATCAAAAATACATATGTAAAACTTTTTTCTGTATTTGGATTTTATTTACATGTATATGAAACGGAACACATTTGTGTGTGCATTGAAAAACACAAGTGTGGATCCGGAAATACAAGTTTGAATCCTTTTGCGGATCATGAAATACAAGTGTGAATCCTTCTGTGTGCATGTGTGTATTATGAGACTGTTCTGAGCCCATAGAAAGCATGACATTTAACACCGCTGATATTGATTTTTTACTTTCAGTCTGTTATATTTGGAGTTTGATAACATATTTTACCTTATAAATATATTTTTTTATAACAGAAATAAACATTGTTTTGCGATATATTAACCTACAAATTACTATATTGAAATTCAAGAATAAACTATTTGCAAAATAGAAGTTTATTTTCTTATTAAAACGTTTTCCTTTTTTGTTGAACAATTAAATGCTGCGAAAAACACAGCATGCAGTCTTAGCTAGGACAAAGTTAGCCTAGCTTAGCTTAAAGATCAGAAACAGGAAGGAAATAACTTACTTAATCGCAACCTAAAGTGTAAACATACACATTTCAACACATCATGAGTTCTGTAAAGAACACAATTTGTAACAATTCTTGAGAGTTATGTAGCGTAATCACTCTTTTACACATTTCTTTACATGGTAACTGCTTCTCCCTGCTTCCTTTCTTTAAGCTAGGCTAGCCACATCCGGGCTGCTGCTTACTTAACAAGCACACATGAGGTATCAATCTTCTCATGTAACTCTCCAGAAGAAACCAAGCATTACCCAAATTATTCCTTTAAAGCCTCAGTAGAAATTGAGCTACCATGAACTCATTGGTTTCATTATACAACAGCAAAACACATTTTTGTTGGTAGAAAGTCAGTTGTGGTTTAGCCTATACATTTAGCTGAAACAGCCTTGACGTTTTTATTTGGCTTGACTGCACCAACAATGCAATACTTAACTTTTTTGTGCCTCTTAATGGGTTTTCTTTGTTGCTTTTTTTATAGACCTCTTTATGCCAGAACATTTTATATGGTGATGTTTTTGCTTTGACGTGTTTGGTGAAAGGTGTGCTGACTCTGTTGCTTATGGTTTCCACAAACAGATACTATATGGCCATGTACACACACTGTATATCACGGTTTAAAGAATGCCACTCCATTTACATTAAGACTCTGTTATTCTATGGCCGAAAACACTGCTGCAGAATTAAGCTGATTTGACTGAAAAACAATATTCACTTGCTCACAGAATCAATCCTTTATCTATAGTGGCAGCTTTACATTTGCCCCCTAAAGACTTATAGGGCTCTAGATGGAGATGAATTATTACGCTATATATTTTATACTTAAAGTTTTCAAAACATGTTTGTGAGAGTGTAAAGGGATAGTGTTTTTATCAGTAGGCTACTGTCCAAGACACAATATTAGATGCAGAAAAGCGCTTCGACTGATACATCAGGATGATATTGGCTGTTTTCTTATATTGGTATATTCATCATATGATCATCTGTCACATCATGTAGGAGCTGAAACTATAAGAAAATAGAAAACAAATCATATCAATTCTTATAGGTGAACAAACATTATCCATTGTCTGTTCTTTGTCATTGTAAAGTGGTTACATTTTCACTTTAAAACTGCTGATTTTAATATGTCATCTTGTGTTTTAGCTAATTGTGATATTTCAACAATTTCATGACCTTTTGTGCACCTATCAATAGACCAAAGAAAGCTTAAATTGAGTCTGTGGCGTCATAGAAGTGCCATAAAAAGAAAGGAATAGAGAGGAAAAAATAAAAGAATCAAGATGTATAATTTAGAAATGTAGAAATATAATTAGAGACAATAAAAAATAACATTTATTTCCACATTTAATCTATTAATTTTTCTAAAATTGAATGTAAATTAGTTATTGTTTTTCCTTTATTTTATTTTTGCTTTTGCCATCCTCTCTGTCTGTGACTCCAGGTTGAAGGCCGGCTGCGACCGTCTGATCGAGGTGGACGACATGATGATCATGGGTCGTAAACCGGACCCCATGTGTGTCTTCACCTACGTCCAGTCCCTCTACAACCACCTGCGCAAGTTTGAGTGAAGCTCCAAAGCATCTCGCTTCAGACTTGACCTTTTAAAACCTCTTATTCTTTCTATTTACCAAACTTTGAGCAGAGTGGAGATCCACAGCTGGCATGGTGGAGCACTTTGGAAAGACTACACTGCTCCCTGGTGGTGGAGTGATGAACTTTACTCCACATGCTGCAGGAAAAGTCATCACAGAGGCACAGTGGACTCATGGGATAATACTGTGTGTGCTGTGATAGTAACTGTTTGTCTGGTTTGGTTTGTCAACAGTTTTGACAGTGTGTATGTGCTTGTGTGTGTTTACTTGAGATACAAAAAGTGCAAATATATTCTGTGTTGTATAAATCTTTATATTCACGCACGTGTTTGAATGTGGCCATATTAACCTTCATATTGCTGGATTTATGTTTCAAAAAAGTAACTGTATACCTAAAGTGTTTGCGATGAAGCGCTGGGGCATAAAAAATGATATGTTGCTGACTGATATTTACATTCACATATGATGTGATACTCAGCGATTGAGATGAGGATGAGACATGGAAAAATAACTGTTTGACACCTACATTGTGTTCAATACTTGGCATCAAATAAACAAGTATCTGTATTTTAATAAAAAGATTGGTTGTGGCCCAGTGCAAGGTTAGTGGTTGGAGCCCCAAACCCTACTGGGTATACTATACATTTTGAAAGAATACGATTTTATATGATTTAAGTGTTTTTTCCTTGTGTCACGATATTAACAACTTTATTATTATACAGTGTAGTGATACTGAAACAAGCTTTTGAATAATTCTGGTGATTTTCTTCTTGTGAAAACATTCAATAACTTTATTGTTATTATAAGTTTTATAATGCAGTGTTGTGCTTTCAAAATTACGCCACACATCACTTGTCTCCTGCTGGCTGCACTAAAACATTTATTGTAAAGAATTATGATTTGGAAACGTTTTGGTGAATTTTTTCTTGAGCAAAACTTTTAATAACTTCACCATTATACGGCAAGGTGCTAAGGTACTGTAATGGTCTTCTGTTGGTTGTACAATACGAACAAGTTTGGAAAAGCCTCCTTTTGCATAATTGGTGAATATTTCTTGTGTAAAATATTCAATTACCTTACTACACAACATTACACTACATGCCACATATTAGACGATTTTATCCAAAGCGACATTGGGCAGTCCCCACAGGACCAATTTGGGGTGAAGTGTCTTGCCCAGGGACACAACGACAAGCTGACTGCACTTGGGATGGAACCAGTACTCCCCTGATCTGTAGATCAACGCACTAGCCAACTGAGCCACAGACTCACAGTGTATTGCTACCAAAATCCATTAGCGACTTGAATATCATGGGTAATTTTGCGTTAAGTATTTGACAGCGGAGGACCCTAGTTTCCCATCTAAGTACTGACCCGGCCCGACCCTGTTTAGCTTCTAGGACACATTGAGTGAGCTTTAGCCTTGTATTGTGTGAACACAACTAAATCAAAGTTTTAACAACATCTTTGTTACGATATTTTCTTGGCTCTCAACACTCCTACGGCGGATATACAATCTATCAATTTCATTGTGTTTTGTATTATTTCCCTTCCTCTCACAAGTTCCACTTCTGAAATGTTTTAACAAATGTAGGCCTACTTGTGTCTTTAACAATATCTTTGCTTTTATAATTCCTTTCCCAGGCAGTCCCCAATCCAAGCATTGACCCAGCCTGACAGTGTTACAATATCAAACAAGATAAGGGTTTTTGAAAGTGTTACAAGATCATAAGCAAAAAGTAAAATGAAATGCCAAAAATTGGTGTTTTAAACACAATTCTTTTAATCCATCCCCCGCTTCTTTGGCCCCCAGTGCAGTTCCTGTATGAGTATTTTGTCACGTAAAATATCATTGTCATCTTACGTATAAGAATATGATTTCAATTTGTGAGGAAAAGTGTCTGGATGGCTTTGGCTCAAGGAGTAAATTAATTTCTACCACTGGGGGTCAGTAGTTTGACTCCCCAGCACGTCATAAAAGAGTTACAAGATGCTTTAGACCTGTCATTGGAAATGATGGTGAGAGGGCAAGTTTAAAGGTCCCATGTCATGGCCATTTCTACTGATCGTTCCATTGTTGAGGTCTACTAGAATAGATTTATATTGTGCAATTTTCCAAAATCACATTGGTTTCTCATACAGCATCTCTATATAGTATGTGTATTCACTCTCTGTCTTAAACGGCTTGTTGGACATTTCTTCATTTTTTCTCTCTATTTTTTTTCCCATGTCCCTTTAGGGGCTCCGTAGTAATGCATAATTCTCCTAATCAACTTGTGTGTTCAGGGCCGTCCCTCCCTACAGGCCGATCATGCAGGCTGCATGGGGCCTCACATTGCGCAGGGGACCTCGCGCAGGGGGCCTCGCGCAGGGGGCCTCGGCTTATGAGCTCGGCTTGTGCGCAGTTCATGTCAACCGCATGAGAAATACTGATATAAATGTGTGTGTTGTTGATACATTGCTGACAGAGGGAACTACATTTGAATACAGATTTAAGAAATATTATATAATTATAATAAAACAATATAGTATTTATATTATTTAATTGATTATGATTATTATTAGTAGAAGTAGTTTATTTGCATTAATTATATTAAAAACTGCTCTGGAGATGTTGTCATTTCTGCACAAAAGTGAGTTACAGGAACTGTACCCAAATCTCTGGATTGCCCTCCACATTGCAGTAACTCTTCCTGTTACATCTCACAATGTCGCTTGGGGCCCCAAGTTGGCCAGGGACGGCCCTGTGTGTGTTGTTCAACCAACAGGAGACCACAACGTGATTTTTAAAAAATATTTTTTTTCATAACTTGTTTACATGTAGTATAACCAAGAGGAGAGCAATACTATGTGTGGAGTGATTTTACTGTATCAGGGGGAATTATTTAGCCATTTCCACAAAACATCTTGTGTTGATAATCATTACGTTGTAGCTCGTTGCCTAATTTACAGTTGTTGAGAGAGTTTGTTTGGGTTTAAAATCATTTCGTTTTTTGGTTCGAATCCATCAATATATTTTTAACTTAACCGAAATGTATCTTCAAAACTCAAGAAATAATGCAATGCGGCATGACAATGTTTCGCTCGGTTCTCTCAAATTGGGTCAGAGGTGAACAACACCTGGATGTGCTGGGTGTGGATGCTGGGTGGAGTTGGGAGTGGCTGCTGTGGTGGGTGTCCGATCTGATAAACTATAAGAGTCGGTCCCTCCTCCTCCCCTGTCAGCAGTCTGTACGAAGGATGTCTCTGTTCATGGATTCAGACGTGTCTTCACTCAGGCAGAACCAGTGTAAAGACGTGATGGAATTTAAGACGTTATATGGCGAACCGGAACAATGTAAAGGTTAGTACGATTATCATTTACATCATCTCCTAAACAAATTAGTTGTCATCTTCTATTGACAGTAATATATTTCAGTTGAATAACCACACCAGATGTAAATGAATCCTTGAATCAGATAAGGGAGCAAACCATCATGGAACTCTTTCAAATTAAATAATTCGTTTTTAAAAGAAATGTGGATCAATATGATATCGTTTAAAGGGAAAAGAGGGCTTCTACAAAAGCCATAGCAGAAATAAGACCGAAATATATTCTATGAAAATGTAATTGCTTTTTAAAGCAAAAATAATTATCGAACACAAGCTCATATCGGCAATATAAGCCTACATAAGAGACAACGAATGCACATTGCTTAACTAAGTTATTTATTACGTTTTTAAATGTAAGTGTTTTTTCTTTGTAAAATGAAAAAAAAAACGTTTTATTTTGTTCTGTCTTTTACAGTTCGCTAATTTTATTTGTGTTGTATTAGCCCTTTAACTTTTAATTGTTTGCTATTGGTATACAAAACGCAACTCGGCGAGATTAAACAAATACATCAAAACGTAATAGCATTTTTATTTTATAAACGCATATTTTTCTATTATTTTTATTTTAATCTCGCCCCTTCCCTTTTGCCTTTTCTCTCAGACGGCCGCAGTGAGCGCGCACTATCCTCCCCGGAGCCGGAGCGAGCCGCGGGGCCGATGGAGGGCCAGAGGAAGAGGAAGAGGACCATCTTCAGCCGGGCCCAGCTCACCGAGCTGGAGCAGGCCTTCGCTGTGACTCCGTACCCGGACATCACCCTGCGAGAGAGACTGGCTGCACACACACACCTTCCCGAGAGCAAGATACAGGTGAGTGCGTGTCTGCGGCTCAGCTCTGAAACTTCCCCAAAACAGAAAACTACATTTAGAAAAACAATTACTGACTGTATTGTTAGGGACAATTATCGTTGTTCGTTAGAATTATGTATAGTCTATAATATAACTGAATTATAATTATTGATGCATTAATGTTTTTAACCCTTCAATTATGCATCTGGTAAAGGAGAGGCTTATTTTATTTACTTGACATGCTGATGGGATATATCTTAACTTTTATTTTTGTATTTTATATCTGTCTTGTTCTCTTTTAGCTTGTTTTATTTTTACATTATTCTATATTCTCTGATTTATTTTTACATGTATTTAAATGTCATTTTCTGTGTTTCTGTTGCATCTTAAAGCTTTTAATGTTATTTAAAATAATTTTTTGTTAAGGACTTTGAAATGCCTTGGGTTGAAATGCTATCTAAATAAACGTGCCTTATAGTCTTGCCTCAATCTATATTACTACTATTATTATTACTACTACTACTACTACTACTACTACTACTACTACTACTACTACTACTACTACTACTACTACTACTACTACTACTAATAATAATAATAATAATAATAATAGTTAAACCTGCAAAGTATGCATTTGAATTTGTAAGGTAAGAAGAAGAAGGGGAGTAAAAAGTACAATATTTTACCTGTTGTAGAATATAGTATAGTGCTTAACATTGAGTCCTATGCACTCGATGTTAACCTTTTTTTTGTTCCAGGTGTGGTTCCAAAACAGAAGAGCTAGAAGTATCAAGACCGTTAGAATCCCCAAGTCCACCAAACCCCCCCTGGGAGGGATAGGTGATCCCCCCACCTCCGCCTTCCTCGGCTCCTCATCCCTGGCGGACATATTCCGGCCCGAGCAGAGCCACTGTGAGGAGGTGCAGCAGATTTACTCTGACTGGATCCAGATCTACAGCAACCCTGTGTCATCGCCGCCATCTTGCTCCTCCCTCCACCAGCACCAACCCTGCAAACCCTCAGACTCTCATGTCTGGGAGGATGAGCACCACCCGCGGCAGCACCTGGGACCAGCACTCCCCGCCTTCCTTCCTGGTTCTTTCCCCCAGCCTGTCAGCAGGCAGCCTCACCCCTCGGCCTCCGCCCGCTCCTACCAGGCCTTCAGGAACTTCAAACCCCAGACTATAGCTCCATCCCCTCACCAGGCAGTGTACGCTGCAGGTGGAGCCCACACCTCCATAGATCAGGTGGTCCCTTCCCACCATCAGCCGGTGTACTGGGAGGTGACTCAGGGCCAAGGACACCACCACCCACACCACAATCACCACCCACAAATGGGAGCTCAGACCTCCATGGGCTACATCTCAGACTTAATCTACAACGCCGCCATCGTCACCAACTTCCTGGAGCACTGATCAATCCGGTTATCCGGATGTGGAGGAAATAGCAGTTTCAGTGTCATGTTGGGAACATCCCAACCAGTTTGGAAAAATAAGACTGATATTTGTTACAAATAATATTAGCAGCTAGCAAAAAAGAAATAACCAGGAAATGTAGAGAGTAGAGAGAGTAGAGAATCTCCAACAACTTCAGACTGGAAAGCAATAGTTCAGGAAAGTCATACGGAACAACTGACTTTCTCTCTGAGACATAACTAAAATGTGAAAAGTACTGAAAAACTGTAAATGCTATTTGAAACCCAACTGATGTCCTTATCACATACTCTCTGTGTTTGGAAGGCTTGCTTTACTTGGCCCTGTACTTGGGCTGAAAAGGTGGACCTTAATCTATGAATGGAGGGGTCACAGACCCAGGACAGATAATTGAAAAGGTCAATCATGGACAGAGAGGACCCAAAGACTCTGATGGTGTGATGTACCCTGCCTTCATTAGCCTTATGTGTCTAAATATGTGTACACGTCAAAGAAGTATCTAAGTAGATAAATGTGTGTTCAAATGTATAGGTGTGTGCGTATGTATTGTATGTAAATTGTTTTCTTTCATTCTACATGATAGTAAGCACTTCATGTTACCCATGATGACCCTGTCTACGTTCACACTGTTTGTCTGTTTTTTACAAAAATGAAAAACAATAAAACAAAGTTTAAAAAACAAAGAAAGGCAAATAGTATTTCTGTCAGACTCCTTTTATTTCCTGTCAAACAGCTTCCTTATACGTCAGTCGTGTGTGTTACCAGATTGTTCCTTAAACACATTATGTGTTAGAATTGGACGGTTTTTAGATATTTCTGGCTCAGTTTTCAAAGTTTTAACATGCTAAACCTTCAATGCAAATGGACAAAATGGTTGCTATTATCTTACCTTTAGACACAAAATGGCTGTCATTATAACAGTCAACAGTCCCATGCTCAGATTACAGAAAGCTATAGCATTGCACAGTCACTGAATTACAAGTAACACACTTTTAAAACGCACTTCTTATTTGAACTTAATTCATTCAAATGACTGAAAGTACTTCTGCCTTGGAAGACAACATCTGAAATCCTCCTCCTGTAGCCTCGACATCATCCCTTGCTTGGCCTCAGATATACATAGTAAACAAGTCTCTTCAATCAGGTGTATCTCCATAGGCCCTGAAAACTGCAATAATTAAACCGCTCCTAAAAAAGCATAACCTAGACGCAACCATAATGAATAACTACAGGCCAATATCAAACCTTCCCTTTTTAAGCAAGTTGATTGAAAAAGCTGTTTTTCAACAGTTGAGTAATTCCATGTTTTTAACTGACGGTTTTGATGTGTTTCAGTCTGGCTTTCGACCTAACCACAACACTGAGACTTCACTTGTTAAGGTCTTAAATGACATCCATTTGAACACAGACAGTGGCAGAATATCAGTGTTAGTATTATTAGATCTCAGCGCTGCCTTTGACACTGTTGACCACAACATATTGCTAGACCGTCTTGAAAACTGGGTGGGAGTTTCAGCAACAGCTCTAAACTGGATTAGTTCCTACTTAAAGGACAGAACAAACTTTGTCTCACTCAATAGGTAATTACAAATCAACCCTGATAAATATGTCATGCGGGGTTCCTCAAGGCTCCATCTTAGGACCTTTGCTTTTTAATATTTATATACTACTTCTGGCTGAAATTATTAAAAAGAGCGATCTAAGCTATCATATCTATGCAGACGACACCCAGATTTATTTTAAAATTACACCGGGAGACTACTCTCCGATTAGAACACTGAGCAAGTGCATTGAGCATATCACTGACTGGATGACTCAGAACTTTCTCCAACTGAACAAACAAAAAACTGAGATCATTGTTTTTGGAGCAAAGAAGGACCGATTAAAAGTAATCACAGAGCTTCAGTCTGCAGACTACAAAGTAACTCACAAAGCAAAAAATCTGGGTGTAGTGATGGACTCAGACCTGAATTTTAACAGTCACATTACAACAGTTATTAGGTCTGCATACTATCACCTGAAGAACATATCTAAGATTAAAAAACTAATGTCGCAACAGGATTTAGAAAAACTTGTCCATGCTTTTGTTTTCAGTAGACTGGACTACTGCAATATATAGTGTCTTCACAGGGCTCACTAAACAATCTATCAGAAAGCTGCAGCTGATTCAGAACGCTGCTGCTCGAGTACTCACTGGCACTAGAAAAGTGGATCACATCACTCCGGTTCTGAGATCATTACACTGGCTTCCAGTCGACCAAAGAATTGCTTTTATAATACTACTGCTAGTTTTTAAATCACTAAATGGCTTAGGACCGAGGTATATAGACGACCTCCTCCATCACTATGAAGCATCCAGGAGTCTCAGGTCTTCTGGGTTGGGTCTGCTCTCTGTTCCGAGAATAACCACTAAACATGGACAAGCCGCTTTTAGTTATTATGCCCCAACAATTTGGAACAAACTGCCTAAATCATGCACGTCCGCTGAAACACTTCCTATTTTCAAATCCAGACTACAAACGCATCTATTTGCCGCTGCTTTTAATTGAGCTGCTCATACTCACACTACAGTATGCCTTTTAGTCATGTATTCTGTACCTGCTGTGTTTATTTATTTATTTAATTTCATTATCTTTGCTTTTTATGCCTGTTTTTAAATGCCTTTTAATAATGTATTTATGCTGTATTTGTTCTATGTCTTTTGTTGTTTGCCTTGCCTTGCCTTGTTTGAATGTTATGTAACCCAAGTTACGTACATACTGTTCATTGAGTAAGTTACGCACAGTGGTATCCTGAGTTAAAGCCTTGGATAGAAAAAATATTTGTGATAAGCCAAAAAAAATAACGTTACCTGGAAGAAAATACATGTCATGTCAGGCAAATTACCACTGCAGTTGTATTGTTGGGAAAACAATTTTTAGGGGACCGGGCTGGCATGTATTCAACCATTACAGTATTAATGTAACTATGGGATAAACTTGTGAAGGGGTGAAACATCAATGGTGGTCTCTCAAACAATACTAACGTTGGTCACTCAGCACAGAAATATTTTATTAGTTTTTTCTTGTATGAATAGATACAAAATTCCCAAATTAGACTCAATGTTATCCATTGATAACAATACCTTTTCTAATACTGATAGCATAACAGATAAATGTAATGAAAGCTTTCAAAAGTCATTTGTAGTCTATAATACTTTAAATACTGAAATTTATTGAAATTGCACTTTTTCTAATTTCTATTTGTGTTCTATGGAGGAAACCACAGTTGATGTTTTAATGAGAGCTGGATTCTGTTTGAGAGCAGTTTTATAAAACATAATAATACACATACACATAGTGTTGTGGTGCCCTAATAAATGTACTGTATAATGTAATATCTTATTTCCTTTGCTGCAATGTGGAGTTGTGGAATTAAGAGTTTTGTGATCACAGTCTTGCAAATTGAAACTCTTTTTGTGAAAACTGAGCCAAAGGACACTGTAAGATATGTCTATAGAGTCATATATAAGCCTAGGACTTAGTTTCAGTGTTTTTCTCGTCTCATTTTGATATTTTTTTTAATAAATGTAATGTTCTTGACATGGATTCTTCTCACAGATGCCTGCTCCTGTTTTCCTGCTGTAAGCCAACCATGGCATGTTTAATGCTGCGACCCCGCGAGTATTATCTTTCAAAACATCCTGATTAAAATGATTCCTTGTGGTAAGATACCATGACAGGAATAATTATTTTCTAAATCAAAATATATTTTTCTCATATCTCTCTGTACTGTAAGTATCGGGAGCATTAGATGGATGGAGGGGGGGAAATGAAAAATAAGAAGTAAATTAAAGCTCAGGGTCTATCAGCTTACAGGCTCTGTAATTCTGCCTGGATTTAAGTTTTGAAATATTACATGAGAGGTATAATACAGAGGCCAATATGACGGACAGCAGCGCACACTGTTTGTCCAGAGATCTCTGTATATCATAATCATCTTTAATACCAAATAATCTTTCAATAAACCTTTAATCCGGGTGTCAAATCTCAGATCTTCGGAAAATACTTTTTTTGTGTGTTCCAGATGTAGTGACATCTTTTAATCTTTCCGCTGATATAACAGGACTTGATCAGAGGAGGATGGGAAAGTTGACCAAAAAAATATGATTTCATACGGTGAGAAGGGATCATGGAAATCAAATCGGATGTGTGGTAAGAAATAAGAGACATGGTGTTATTGTCCTGAGGATGCTAAATCTTCTGTGTGTCTGCGGCACAGCAATCGTTTGTTTTTCAAGAATGGGATGGCTTTTTAAATCACTTCAAAACAGTAAGCACATATCAAAGACAAACATTAGCACATCTGTCAGGTGGAGTAAGATGATAAAATAATTCAAAAACAGTTTAGTAAAAATTATTAGTAACTGATGCCACAGCTGGTGGATTATATGGAGGTCAAAACCAGTCAGAGTAAAAAAGAAAAGAAAAAATAACTCAGCAGCTTTTGTACTCATCTCAGCTCTGTTGTACTGTGTCAACTACTTTTTTGAAAAAATACTCTTTAGATTGTTAAAAATGAACAATAATGCTCATTTAATATTTAATAGGGATCTTGGATACCAATTGGACTTGGCCATATCAAAAACATAACATTTAAAAAAGCCTTAAAGGTTTCAAATAAATCATTAAACATAAACACCATTAGTCTAATATAGGCAAGGCAAGTTTATTTATATAGCACTTTTCAACACAAGGCAATTCAAAGTGCTTTACAAAAAATGAAAGACATTAAGAAAATGGCATTTAAAATCAGTCATTAAAAAGAAAAGCTAATAAAATAAACATTAAAAGAAATAATACATGGATAAAAGTTACAGTGCAGTTTAAGATGTAAATAGTTCAATTAAAAGCAGCGACAAAAAGAAAAGTCTTCAGCCTGGATTTAAAAGTAGTCAGAGTTGCAGCGGACCTGCAGGTTTCTGGGAGTTTGTTCCAGATGTTTGGAGCATAATAACTGAACGCTGCTTCTCCATGTTTAGTTCTGACTCTGGGGACAGAAAGCTGACCAGTCCCTGAAGACCTGAGAGATCTGGATGGTTCATAATTTAGCAGGAGGTCAGAAATGTATTTTGGGCCTAAACCATTCAAAGCTTTATAAACCAGCAGCAGTATTTTGAAATCTATTCTTTGACACACAGGAAGCCAGTGTAAAGACTTCAGAACTGGAGTGATGTGATCCACTTTCTTAGTGTTAGTGAGGACTCGAGCAGCGGCGTTCTGAATCAGCTGCAGCTTTCTAATATAATTTTTAGTGAGACCTGTGAAGACACCATTGCAGTAGTCGAGTCTACTGAAGATAAAAGCATGGACAAGTTTTTCCAAATCCTACTATGACATTAGTCTTTTAATCCTAGATATGTTCTTTAGGTGATAGTAGGCTGATTTAGTAACTGTTTTAATGTGACTGTTGAAACTCAGGTAGAGTCCATGACTACACCTAGATTTCTGGCTTTATCTGTTGTTTTGAACATTGCAGACTGAAGCTCAGCGCTAACTTTTATACGTTCTGCCTTGGCTCCAAAAACCATTACCTCAGTTGTATCTTTGTTTAATTGGAGAAAGTTCTGACACATCCAGTCATTGATTTGTTCAATGCACTTACTCAGTGTTTGAATTGGAGCATAGTCTCCTGGTGAAATGGTTATGTAAATGTATGTGTCATCTGCATAGCTATGGTAACTTATTTTGTTGTTCTTCATTATCTGAGCCAGTGGTAGCATGTAGATGTTAAAGAGAAGAGGCCCCAAGATGGAGCCTTGAGGTACCCCACATGTCATATTTGTCAACTCAGATGTGTATTTACCTATAGAAACAAAGTTGTTTCTGTCCTTTAAGTAGGATTCAAACCAATTTAGAACTGTTTCCGAAAGTCCCACCCAGTTTTCCAGTCGGTCTAGTAATATGTTGTTGTCAACAGTGTCAAACGCAGCACTGAGATCTAATAATACTAACACTGAAGTTCTGCCACTGTCTGTGTTTAAGTGGATGTCATTGAAGACCTTTACAAGAGCAGTCTCAGTGCTGTGGTTTGGACGAAAGCCTGACTGGAACACATCGAAACAACTATTTAAATGCAAGAAATTACTCAACTGTTGAAAGACAACTTTTTCAATGATTTTACCTAGAAATGGCAGGTTTTATATGGGCCTGTAATTGTTCATTACTGAAGCATCTAGATTATTCTTTTTTGTCCAAATACAACTCTCTTTCTGTTCTCAAATGTTTCAGACTTTTCACCATGGTGCAAAGAAAATGCCTATAATCTGGCATAATAGATATTTTCTCTCTTTTTGAGATAAGTGTATTTTTATGCATGGTCCTTGTTCAATAAAGACATAAATACATTTCAATCAGGAGAGACTTCATTTGTTTAAAGAACATTTATTGACACATGTCATATGATAAATGTTAAGTCTTTGGCGATTAGCCCCCAATCCTAAAATCGTATATCTAAAGGGGGAAAAGCAGTTTGAGTTTATAGGGAACCCCCCGGGGTCTAGACACTGGTGATGATGCTGAAGATCTGGATTTGATGACGAGATGGGATGAAGAGGAGGTGTGATGAGGTCTTTGGATTAGCTCTCCTGGCACTGGATATGATGAAAGGAGGTGGATGGGGAGGAGGCGGGTGGCAGCATGAAAACCTGAAATCACAGCTGAAATCACATCTGACAGGTCAGGTAATTGGCTGCTGGAGAATGAGGTGAAATGTAATAGGTTAAAGAGAACGCCCGTGATGAGCTGATTATATGCAGCTGCGGAGTGAATGTATATAGTCTTCCTGAAAGAACTTGCGCTGAGCTTAATTTGTTAGGTAGGTTTAAAGTATATAAGTAGTGTTCAATAATATTTTCTGGAGCTATAGCTTAAAGCAGGGGTGTCAAACTCAATTTCATCGTGGGCCACATTGGAATTACGGTTGCACTCAAAGGGCCGGTTGTAACTTTAAGACTATATAAATATTTAATATATATAAAATGATGTATTATATTACATTATTGCCTCTGCATTGGAATATTATCGGAAAGGGTAATAACTTCATAATTAACTACGTCTGAAAGCAGAAGTCTGGGGAAAATAATTGCAAGTCTCTTCGGTGAGAATGTCACAAAATGATTTCAAAAGAAAAGCCAAATTCTAAGAAAAAAGGCTTATTTTGAAGAAAAGAGTCAAATTCTGATAAAAAAAAGTCAAAGTTTGAGATGCATTGTAGGACATGTAGTTTATGGGCAATGTGCTTCTGTAAGCGGCATGTAACCGTATAATAAACATATTATATTCTTTGCAAGCTCTTGTGGGGCCACATCAAGTGAAGTCGCGGGCCGGATTTGGCCCCCGAGCCTTGAGTTTGACACCCCTGGCTTAAAAGGACAGTTTACATCAAAAATAAAAATGTTCTTTGACCTGTAATGCTATTTAATAGTCCATAGTTGATGTACGATGTAAGGTGTTGTAGATGTCTGCCTTCTCTGTAATCAAATGGAACACGGTCACTAAGCTTGTTGCGTATGAAAAACTCAACAGGAATGACTTCTTCCAGAAATCATAACCAGGTTGCTCAAGCTTTAATGTGAATTTGCTGAAGAGAGTATATGCACGATTCTTTTTGTGCAGTAATATGATAGAAACAAAACTGTGCTGCATTAAATTGCTGACAAAAAGGCCTGCCAATTATTTTAAGTAACTAGGTCATGAATTCAGGAAAGATACATTGTTGATGAGTTTTTCAATTGTAATTTTAGCTTGCACATTTCAGAACAACAAGGCGAGGACCATCTGCTTCCAAGATGGCAGAATCTCCACGCTCAATAAACCAACACTTTGCAACTCACACAAAAACAATCTAAAGGATAAGAGTTTTTAAGATTAACATCACTTTATTAATCCCCGAGGGAAATTCAGTTATTTACTCTGTTTTTGTACACACATATGCCCATTGTAGTGACATGCACTGATATAGAGGTGTCAGAGCGAAGGGGTTGTTCGTTTTTTCGTCGCCCAGGAGAGGAACTGGCACCTCTGCAGCTAGCAGTTCAGACTATGTATTTTTGATCCGATCGGGACATGAAAGGCAACCCTTTGGTTCCCAAGCCAAGCCCTACAGATTGAGCAGTGGCCCCACGGCCTGCATTTGACCTGTCCTCGACCACAGGCCCACGGGGCGAACGCTGGAAGGCAACACTAACTGGTGGATTACCAATTGTAGGAATAAGCTCTAGTTAATCCAGATGATTTTATTACACACACAAATATGATTACATGATCTGAGAACAAAATTGAAAATGTACATTAAGTAAATAAACATTTATATTTAGGTTGTTGGATGAAGAACATTTAAAATTGAAAAAGAGCTGTAAATAAATAAGAAATATATTTAAATGTAATGAAAAGAAAGTCTGGTCAGGTGGTATGTAATGTCAGATAAAGCGACCAATATTCATTTTGAACCAATTAGCTTTCTTGTAATGTTGAAGCATCCATTTATTGCTTCTAGTATCCCTTTTTAAATTCTCAGTAACTCTGACCTTGCACAAAAATCTCACATATTTTCCTGTCAAATAAAAAGAAAACAAGTCTGTAGGGTTTCCTAGGCAAAGTGAAATGTCTGTTCTGAATCAGTCGGCCTGTTGGGGTTGCCGACGTTCCGCTTTAAGTTCTGACACAGGTCCCTGGTTCTGTGTGCATAGCGGCTATGGTTCTCCTAGTTCCCCCTCCATGGTCCGGACCAGCACATACAGCTCAGCGAGCCCCACAACAGAGGCAGCGATCACAGCCGCTAATACTCGCTGGAAAACAAATACAAAGCCAAAGTTAACCTTAACCTTTTGGTGAATACAAACACATTCAAAGAAAAGAACACCAGATATTGTCCCCTAGTGGTGACCTATGTAGTAAATCGACTATAAAAGACTACAATTTCTACGGCTCCAGCCTTTGAGAGACACATATATGTGCAACCTTTGTGGGAGATGCCGTGGAGACGGTTTTCACTTGAAATCTGACTTTGTAACTAACAACATAATAGAACATTTTTTAAATCATTGTATCTGAGTTTTGCATCTTTTGTCTTGGTTTGTTTGAACTAACCACAAGTCATACAAAATCAACACATCATCAGAAGCTCAACAAGTCCTCACAACTGTAAGTAAAACTAATAAAGAAAATACATTATAAATGTCTGTTTGAAAGTGTTGCTTAAGGAAACAAAAGGAAGGAAGTCGGGACAATAGGTTTTAAGCTGCCGAGATGAACAGCACTGCATGTAGCTACGTTAACTTGTATATTACATGTATAGTACAGATTTAAAATGAAATGTACTCTTACCGCTGCAGTGTCAGTGAACAGGTACTGACTCCCCATATATGAACAGGCAAAAGCAGCAACCACTGTGACCAGGAAGTTGAATATTGTCGCCACCACTGCTTTGACTGATCGCACTGGAGGAGAGAAAAAACAAACACAAGTTCAGAGGAAGTTCCTAAGGCCGGAGGGGATCATCGTTCATAGCGACGTCACTCTTCCTATCGTTGTGAAGCAGATTCACCAAGCGTTGGATTGTTCACCCGCTAATAGGGAACGTGGGTCTGGTTTGAACCGTCATGAGACAGGTACGTTTTACCCTACTGATGATGTGTTGTTGCAATAGTAATCCTCGGTTATGTGTATGTGATTATCCGCCTGACTGTCTGCAGCTAATCTAGCAAACTACTTACTAGGCCATTAGCCTAATATTTATTGTGCCCATTGATAACTGTATGTTCAAGGAATTTGATGTTGTTGTTGAGATGATTCACAGGTTGACTGGTTGACTCCTCTTAACTGGCAGGTTAAGCAAAAGGCATCTTCGTCAATTCGCTACCTTATGCCCTAAACCTTACCTATTCTGTTTCAGGACACAGTTTGGCCATGTTCCATACACACTGTGTTATAATACACTAGTAAGGCGATTAGGCGATAAATACATACACATTTCTGTTTTCTTCACCAGCATTACGAATGTAAGGGAGTGAGGAGGGAGTGTCTAGTGAAATTCTACTTTTTATATGATTGGCAGGGGAAGATCTGCACTCTATTGGACATCTTTTTCTAGTTTTCAATGTAATACTTTCATGGCTTTATGTGCTCCCGGGGCCTGTATCCTTCCAGTAGCTTTGCGCATGGTGCTGCATTGCTTCAACGATGGGAAGGAAGTGCTTAAAAGCTGCGGTGCCAGTAGAAGAAGGGAGAGGCGTCTAATGGAGGGACTGCTGGTGGTTCTGCCTCCAAACCTAGTATTTATCTTTGTTTAGATATGAACCAGAGACCTTTTTACATCCCCCTAACATATACAATATGAAATACATAAATTATATATAATTCAGCCTCTGATTTCTAGAATTAGGATCCTATAATAAGCGATGGCAAATGTGTATCACACTCACTTTCCCGTCCAAAATCTGCTAGCGATCCATTGCGGTTGATTTCCTGAAGACAAAAAAAGATATTTATCACAAGGTAAAATCTCTGAGATATAATATGTTTATTTTTTATCAAGTATCACATAATATTATCATCAATGCATCGTATTTTCTCCACGTATAGTAAAAAAAATGTCTACTGATCATAATTCCAGTGTTGAGGTCTACTAGAATAGATTTACATTGTTCAATGTTCCAAACTCACATTGGTTTCTCATACAGCATCTCTGTATAGTATGTGTATTCACTCTCTGTCCTAAATGGCTTGTTGGAGCTCCTGTCCCCCCCCCCCTCCCTATGAGCCCACTGTGCTCTGATTGGTCAGCTCCAACTCTGTTCTGATGAGTCCACCACCGTTGCAGCGGAACATCAGTGATTATGTGTTACAATGGCGTTAGCAACCAGAAAATGACACCAGGAATGACAAACAGATGAGAATGCTGCGTGGGGTCTGGGTGCCGTGTTGGCGGGACGTTGCGCGGCTCGCTGCTGTGAGGAAGGGACAGTGTGAGCTCTATTACTGGTGTCGTTTCCTGGTTGCTGCGTGGGGTCTGCGAGACAACGAGACATCGCGAAACTCAGCCTGAACTCAGCCATGGACGCAGGAAGGGGGGATGCTGAGGGGGCTGCATCACCCCCATCTGCGAGGCTCCACTAGCACCCGCACCCCAACCCCCCGCACCCCCAAACGCGGCGCACCTACAGTGTAAGCCCGTCACAGTTTCGCCGCTGACTGTTTACATGCATAAAAACCTTCATAACCAGGGCTGCACATAACTGGTGCGCACCTCCGCCAAAAAAAGAGCACCGGGTCATTTGAAACAAAGCGCATTTGCGTACCAACATTGAGAGAGGGAGAGAGAGAGAGAGAGAGAGAAGGGAAAAGAGAAAATAGAGGAGAGATGAGAGAGAGAGGAGAGAGAGAGAGAGAGAGAGAAGGGAGAAGAGAGAGAGATGAGGAGAGAGACGAGGAGAGAGAGAGAGAGAGAGGGAGAGAGAGAGAGAGAGAGAGAGGAGAGAGAGAGAGAGAGAGAGAGAGAGAGAGAGAGAGAGAGAGAGAGAGAGAGAGAGAGAGAGAGAGAGGAGAGAGAGAGAGAGAGAGAGAGAAAGATATTTGCGAGTTGCATACATGTATGAACCATGATATGTACTCAGGGTCGGCCCGTAGCGCTGGCTAGATGTTCGCCTAGGGCGCCAGATCTGTGGAGGTAAGTGATGAAAATGGGGATGTTGGCTTATCTGGCGCCCGCAGCTCACAGCCAAAATGCGAGGGAGAGAGGGAGAGAGAGAGGGTGCACCGGTACCAGCGCTGTTGTTATTAGAATCTGGTGCCGTGCTAGCTGCTCTAACGGATATAAGAAGAAGATGTTTTTACAATAATGTGGAGGGAGAGTCCTCTCCAGCCAGACTGATAACTACAGCTCAGTGAGGTAAAGGAGTCTTAGTCTAAGTTCAAACGGTTTGGTCGTAATTTATGTAAACACATATTTCCAAGGCACTCCTTTATAATTATTGGGATAAACAGGTTTTAAATCATTCCAATGTATACTATAGGACAGTAACCAAAAATATCCTTTAAAACTGGAGAGATTAAAAAAAATGCATAAATAAATGTTAAGGTAAAATAAGATATAAATGAACAACACAAATAAAATAAGTTACATTAATTTGTTATTGGCTATGGTAGGTTATTGGTTATGTTCACATACTTATTTGATTACATCCACTTGTCTAAGATGACAACAGAGACTTTCGACCCAAACCAGCTGTTGACTTGTGGATGCAAGCATCTAATCGCAGACTCAACCAGAGAGAAAGTAGTAGGCCTACATCATCAGCTACCATGTCTGACAGAGAGGAAGACAGTGAGGAGAACAGTCAGGAGGGTAGTGATGACAGCTTGTAGGATTACTGGTCGTGCTCATGTTGTCTTGTGTTCACCTCTGCATGTGTGTTACTGTGTTCACTAGTGCTGTAGCGACGCGTCGACTTCAAAATATCGTCGACGACATATTTCCGCGTCGACGCGTCGCTCCACACACGTGGGTCACCCAAAGCAAAAAGCAGTTCGCAATCGCACTTCAAACACAATGGAGACTGAAACGGCTACCACCTCCTCCTCACAGGATTGCGCACGAAGCCCCCAAACGAAAACATCTCGCCCTAGGTCTTCAAAAGCATGGGAATATTTTAAAGTTAGTCCAAAACGCAAAGATATTTATATATTTATATCTCACTGAGACTGCTGCATAGCCTAGCAGAAGCAGCAGCTAGCTGTGGTGGCTACCATTAGCAGCTAGCATTTGCTCTCCGATTTTTTACATAAAATGGAATTATGGATTATAAATTCAATCATTTTGTTATACATAGACGTTAAAAACCTATGGATTAACCGATTCAGCCGCGTTTTTTCTCATTTTAATGCCATTGAACACGTCTTTTGATCAGATTGACAGCTACGGTGGTAAGACGATCTCCCTAGAAGCTCTGTGAAGGTACGTGTTGTGATGACTGTATTTTGCTTCCCCTGTCGCGAGTCCGGATCACTCAGTGATGATACTATATACCTACTTAATCTGTGGAGTCTCAGCTTTAATCGGATATATTGTAAGTGCAGCTACGATAAGTAATAAGGGTACTTTTATCTTGAGTTCTGTGCCAATGTCCGTTAGCATTTTTCGCTCAGGGGTCATTTAGATGCTTCTTATGAGACTTGTGTTTTGTTTTGGTAAACATGGTTTGTATCGTCAGTTAGCTGAGATTATTTCCGTTAATCTGGTATAACACATTAATAGGTTCTTAAATATTAAGATCCTCTGAGACACAGTATCGCGAAAAAAAAATTGTTTACATTACGTTTTTGTTCATAACACACAAGGGGACGGGTAATAACTGGAAAAGCATGACATGGGACCTTCAAGGCTGCATTAAGTCTCACTCAATGAAAGAATGGTATGTTGAATACATTATAATATTTAGATGTGTTTCTGTAATACAGTCTGATAGCATGATTTATATCTTGCCTTTGTTATATTTGTAATGTTATTGTATACTGTATAGCAGTGGTTCTCAAACTTTTTTCAATAAATGTACCCCCTTTGAAAAAGAAATTCATCCAAGTACCCCCTGAGCAGCGCAAAAAAAATTGTTAGGGAAAAAATGCCTATATAAAGAGGTACAGTACAGCACTGCACCATCAGTGTCTGATTTATTAAAACAACAACCTTGTTAAACAGCATTAACATATGCATAATGCTATACTTTGCGGCCACACGCCGTTGCCAAGCAACACTTATTGTTTAGGTCCTTTGATAAGCAGGCAGTCATATCATTAACTAGAACTAGCTAGATCTGATAGATTTGGACATAAACGCGAGTGAAGTATAACCGGACGCGAGAGAGAGAACACGCAGCTCTGCATGATCACAGCTGTGACGGACCGTTGAGTGGAGCAAAATACACTAAGAGTTAGACCTAACACACTTAGCTATTTCATCTACTCTGGAACTAATTAAACTAGTTATACATATATTTATTCTTTACTGTCGTGTCACTTATTACAGGTTCAGCGAGCTGCACGAGACTGACGAGCTGTCAGGAGAGGGAGAGGAAAAGAGAGCACCCCGTTTATTGTTCCCATTTTATTATCCAGAATTACTGTAAACTTTTGAAGAAAGTAGTTAATCTACTATTATTAGTTTGTTTAAATGCATTACTTACGTATTTTTTTCATTAACATAAAATAAATCTCACGTACCCCCTGCAGTACTCCAACGTACACCTAGGGGTCCGCGTACCCCCATTTGAGAACCACTGCTGTATAGGATAAATTTACCTGAGTGTTGACATTTCGTGTGATTCTGTTGTATTCCTCATTGGCCAGCTTGGCTTTGATCCTCTCAAGACGTGCAACGAGAACTGGGTTCTGAGGGAGAAAAGTCACAATTTGATTTCAATTGTTTGGATCATCTTGAAGTTTATGAGCATACTTGGAAAGGAAAATACTGCACTTAAATTTGTATAGGGATAGGATACAGCTGTGGGCTCAAAAAACACTAAACTGTTTATTTTATCACAATGGAGCTTAAGTGAATGGTATTTTAACGTGTTAGCTTGCTGCATTGTTTCCTGCATGCTGTGATTACAACAAACACTAATGGACATGTTAGAGATTTAACAGACATATATAGTGCCTGTATATTGGGCGTAACCATGGTTTCACTTACTCTGGGAGGCTTCACAACCTCAGGCAGGTGCAGCGAGCTTTCCTCCAAAACCTCATGCAGGTAGAAGGGATGCCCTGCAAGAAAAAAGTCAAACATAACTTAACATTACATACTACTGGCATGGCTTCTAGTAGAGACTATTTTATATCGTGTGAGAACTCTTTAGCATTGGTTTGCTAAAGCTTGAAGACAGGAGTTAATATGTCTTTAATATTGATCACATTAATTGTGACTTTATCTTGGGATGTTGATAAATGAAATAATACAGTGAAAGCTTTATATTTACATTACCAACAGTTCATATTAAGTTCGTAAAAAATCCGCCATCAAATTATACTTTACTTTCACAGAGTTTAAGTATTTAACCATCATCAGTCTTGACTCTTCATAATGAATACGAAATATTAATTGATTTTTTGTATTTTAACCTTTTGAGTGGCAGTTTGTTTACAGTTTGTAAAGACACATTGTGTTTTTTTTAGCTTAGCACGAACATTTATTTTGATGGATTTCAAGGGGAACTTTGTGTCATCAAGGGTCTGAGTCTCTGTATTTTGGCTATACAGTTTGTTATGGAAGTAAACTTCAAAATTCGAAAAGATAAATAGATACATTTTATATATATATATATATACAGATAAAACCAAAATGCCCAAAAAGTGCCTCGACAAGGGTAATTTAGAAATACATAGATAACTATTATTGCCTTACGGTTACACTATATATAACGATAACTATATAAAGGACTAAATACCTAAAGGGTACATATGTCGTTTAAGGAAACAGTATCATTAACGTTAGTACATTACAGAACTTTACCATTGTCCTGGAGGTACTTCTTCAGTGTTCTGGCTGTACTGAAGGACAGGGTTGTGGGTTCTGTTTTTCCAAGTGTCTCCTCGAGTTCTTCCATCAATCTCTGCGGTAGACACGAGTCAGTCTTCTCTAATAATTCCGCCACCTTATTTCTGAATGAATCCCCGACCACAAACGACGAAGCCATGGCTAAATCCACCTGACTGTGACTGGAAGACTGCTGTAAAGCTTCGCAACTGTCTAGATAAATGTATATTTTGTCAAGCTACTTCACAGTGAACATATACCTACTTGAAAGGACGTCAATAATATCGTTAACTGTATAAATTATTATACAAATAAGTTCGGCGTTTATCAGCTAATAACGCTAGCGAGAGATAAATATAAAACACAAGTAAGCAGCCATGTTGTTTCCCTTGTGACATGATGATGCATTCGATCATGTGACCAACTCATGGGTAAAGAACCGTTACTATCATTGCGCATTTTGTTGTGTCAAATTGTATTTAAAGTCTTTGTTAACTTTCAAATGTATCTTGTGTTTTTTGACAAAATAATGTTTTATTCCATTATCAAACTCTAATGTTTCTCGCTGCACTACGTCTGAAATCCTCTCACAGGTGCCTTCACGGTCTGCTCACAAACTCGTCATGCCAAAACCGTGACGTCCCTTATGTTTCTGATGGGCAATTATTTGAAAATAAAATATTGCTTTTATCGCCTTCTTGCTAAATGTTTATTCTTGTATTTTTAGCATGCACAGCTCTTAGTAAAAATTACACAACGCTTGGTTCGGATTCAGTCCGTCTATTCCTGTGGATGTGGAATTTCCCACAAAATTAACCTTAGAAAAAAACGACGACAATTGTTTCTATCTCATCACCTTCAGTACCATCATGTCTTTAATGGGGATTTGGATTATTTGCCTAGTTTTATTTTTCAAATGGTGTCGAACATCATACCAAACAATCTGATATACAATAAAGTGACTTAATATAACTTATTCTAATTCACAGAATTACATTTGATTAATAATGTGTTTACGTTTATTTATTATAGTGATTAAATATAAATATTTTGAAGGATATATTCGATACAAAATGTTAAAGGAATTGTTAAACGTCATTATTGAACGTCATTTATTAATGAATAACCTCTATTTCCTAATTGAAACAACATGCTTTTCCAAATATCATACTTTGACTGTAACAATAAAGTCTATTTTTGTAACTAGCATGTAATGATAACACCAAACATACTGTTAAAAAAGGACACATAAATACCATGTGTATCTGAAGCTTATAATTGTCCTAAATACGACTCTTTCGACGTCCCCTGAATGCAGCATGTAACCTGATGTAAATGCGTGTGTGTTGAGCGTGCCAGGTCTAGAAACATGGCGGCCTGCGCGTTACGCCGAGGCTTGCTGAGCACTGTCAGTAAATACAACAAGAAACACGCACACAGGATACTGAGTGTGGTGGACAGCAGCAGCGGGTCCGAGGCGTTCAGACCGCGGGTTCAATGCCGAGCATGCGGGCTGTCCGGCGGCTTTCAGCAGAAGAGGTTCATGTCGTCACGGTAAGAGTGTCCTCCTCTGTCAATGCTAACATGCTAAAGACTTTAGCTAAGCCCTTCAAGATGACACCGTAAAACAAACACTGGTCATGTTGTTGTTGAGGGGACACATTCCTCGAGACGGTGCCTACGTGGTGTGCAAACATGAGCTAACAATTAGCAGCGCAAAAATGAGAACATGCTGTTGTCCTCTGCTGTTCATTAGCTAGCAAGTTAACCAGCAAGCATGGATTGGGCAACACCTGATCTAACTGCCTGCAACCTACTGAGTCAAAGCATGTTACATCCCTAGGTGCTGCCCACTGTTAGGAGTTAACACCCTCTCATTGCATTAAGATGAGTGGCATTATGGTGCAACGAACTGTTCATTATCAACAGAGGTATAGGAAGTACTCAGATCTTTATAGTAGCAATTATTCATTGTAAAAATACTCTGTTACAAGTAAAAGTCCTGCTTTCAAAATTGTACTCAAGTAAAAGTAGCAAAGTATCGGCATCAAAATATTCCTCAAGTACTCAAAGTACTCATTTTATAGTATGGCCCATATCAGATTTAACAATATAACATGTTTGTATTATAATTATTATTGCATAAATGTCAATGTTGCACTTGGTAAAGGTGGGGATTATGTAAATGACTTGATACACTGCTGGGTAGCTTAACCTTTAATAATACATACTGATTTGTTGGTTGAGTTATATTCTGATTTATAAATCCATACCTGCAAAGTAGCTAGTAACTACATTTGACTAATACAAAAAAGGTGGAGTAAAAAGTACAAAATAGCATCCAAAATGTAGTAAGTAAAAGTACACACTAGCATGTACTTGAGTACATGTACTTAGTTACATTCCACCACTGATGACACTACTCAAAGGCATTGTTTATGCAGGAAGCTCTTACTATAATTTGTCTGGGTTTGATGTAGCGTCCAATCAGTGATTGCATACACAGGCCTTGTCAGTGGTGGATAGTAACAAAGTACATTTACTCAAGAGCTTACTTACAATGTTGAGATACTTACTTTACAAGAGTATTCACAGGTTATGCTACTCTATACTTCTACTCCACCACATTTTAGAAGCCAATATTGTCTTTTTTACTCCACTTCATTGATTTAGCTGTACGTTACTAGTTCATTTTAGATTTAGATATTACAATACAAAATACTAATATAAATTAACTATTCAATGAACTTTGACATATATTTATAGGCTCAGATATCCAGCAGCAGTATATCAAGTTATTCAAATGTGCTCTACATTTACCAGCTTTTATAAAAAACACATCAATAATCATAATAGTAACCCCCTTACTCAAATATACTGTATGTGTTCTGAAATGGGCATAAGGGGTTTAGCTGAGATTCCACAATACTTTGTTACCCTAACAGAAACATAAGATATGTCAATGTTCTCACGGTTTCACAGTATCAGATCTCTGTATTAAAAGACCCTGAGGAAATATTCTTAAACACTAGCTGAGAAAGAGAGAGAGAGATATATCAAAGATAACATATATTTACCTGCTGCCACTTATGCATCGTCTGAATATCATTTAAGCTTGAATTTGATTGAAGTGTTGCACAACCAAGTCATTGATTGGTTGTAGAACTTCCTGTCAGACTAAAACAGTAAATGGCCACACATTGAGAAAAGGCTAGATCTCTGAGTTAAGGCACTCGGCACTCCTCTCCATTTGCAAGATTGAGACGGACAAATCTAAAGGACAACATTCATTCTCCAACATAATCTTAAAATAGGCACATTTAAAAATGATAACCGAAATATGGTGCAGCTGAAACGGTTGTTATTAGTGTTTTAGGCAATGTTTGTTCTTTTAAAAGTTGTGTTATATGTACAAAATATAAATGAAGCTGAATTTGGTCAATTGTATTTGTTCCAAGAGAAATTCTTAACAGTCAGATTTCCAGATACGACAAGCGTTTTCAGACTTAGTACTATCGTTAGTTACATGGGGACTGTTGCCATGACGAAACACGGACTCTTCTGAGGAGGAATTGCAAAGGCAACTTAAAAAGTATTTTTTTAAAAAAGGTTTGAATTGTTCTAAGATGGAATAGCTAATCTCATCAAAATGTGTTTCCTTCTGGTTCATTGCTCTAACTCCAAGTCGATTTAGATGAAATGATCAGCTAAACAAAATGTAGTTATAATTGAGTGTTTTAGGCCAAACTGTTGCAAACACATATTATTTCTGACAGCTCCTATTTGTTGTGTGAAGCCGAAGCATTGTCTCTCAAAGGCTGTGATTTAGTGCAGTGAGAAACCAGTTGGTCCTTTTAGTTTCTGAAGCCGCCTCTACGTTACTAAACGGAAACAAAGAGCTGTAAGAAACTTAGATAATGACAGAAAGCTGTGTATTTGTGAAATGTAGCTCCGTGACAGGAAGTTAAGGTGTGTGTACACAGTCTGTACACACAGTTTGAAATATCTGAACGGGTCAGCACCAGCTCTCACCTGAGTGTAACCTCTGTCTTATTACCAACATGTCTCTGACATGATGGCAGCTCTGTGGCACACTGACCTGGCTTCATCCTCACGTACAATAGGAAAAGGATGAAGTGAAATGGATGCTTCCTGTGTTTACTGAGAGGAGCACTTGGCTACTCACCAGGGCAGGGGTCGCTTTGGGCTGAGGGTTTGCAATGGGTTAGCTATATTTAGATCTGGTTATCTGCTCAAACAGTGTATTGGTAGATTGTTGTAGAGACGGAACAGAAGTCTGCAAAGTGGAATGACTGCTTTTACATTTGCATCATATATTGATATCTACAGTGTTTTCTATTTCAACTCCAAAATAATGACATTAGTGCTGTCAAACGATCATTTTGTTTCACTTTAATCACAGTAATAATCTGAGTCAGGATTCATCAAACATTTTAAAATAGTAGTATTTACTTTTTGGGGGGGGGGATAAAACTAATAAACGTGTGGTGTGTTACGGAAATACATTCAACTAGTAAGACAAATCAAAGTGTTGTTTTTTTTACTTGTTTATGACATGATTTCTGAATGATTGGACTTAAGTCCGTCAATATCCTGACGTGTCGCTAAAGCACTCGACAATGAAGGGTGATCTATTTCATTTAGAAAATTCCACTTTTTTAAAACCAACATGGCTCACTTCAAAATGTTGTTTCAAAACCAAACCCATCGTCACTTCTGGCTTTATGATACGACGTCAAATGATTTGCTACCACCATTTTTCCATTGTGATGTTAGTTTAAACAGACACTGAAGTGTCATCTGTTTGACTTAAATCAATTGTTAAAGCCGTTGTTATGGAGAGCTGCTGCGATTTATAATGTGCATACTGGAATCCTGCCAACGCTTTCAAACTGAAAGCACTACTTTTTGCCAGTTCCTCTACTTTGTGGGCGTTTTCTCTGCCGTGGTAAACATCTCCGCTGGAACGACGGCAGGAAGTTGGGGTCAAACTTTGCAATCTGATCAAGTTGCGTACATTTTGTTTTAGCACATTAAAGTTTCCAGAATATTCCCAAGCCTTGAAGTTGACAGCCCTCAATTCAATACATTTAAAGTGAAACACATTTAAAGTAGGGTTTGTTTTAAGTCCAAACACGATTTGTTGATATCATTCTGATATTTCTTATCTTAAACAAAGCACCCCCCTTATCTCAGATGTCTCTATTCAGTGCAATGGATATGAGTCATAGCATCTCTTCAGCGCAGCACAAAGTGTTACTTGGCATTCTATGAATAGACACGTGTATATTTAAGCAGATATAATGCTGCATTCAAGACATGTTGGAAGCGCTTATCAGAAGACATGCATGAATGAATGATCTCTCAGTCCCTAAGATATTTGGCCTTATTACCAACAATGTCCCTCTTTTACATATTTAGAATCCTGAGAAAAAAAACTTGGTGTAAAAGACTTCATTATGTGAAATCATCACTCTCTGTTGCATATCTTTAAAAGTATAAATGCCCGGAAGAAGCTCCGTTAGACCAACCTGTTTGTATCAAGACTTTTACCCGTAG